CTAAAAACAAAGAGGAGAGCAAATGAGTGGTGCTTGACATGGGAAGAACTCTAGTGCTTTTACAAATTACCTGAAAGAAATATTGGTTAATATGTTTTTTTGTGTGTGTGTGTGTCTGTTCAGAGACTCTTAGTTTTACGTTTAGTTTGTTCAGTTGTTCCTGGTGTCCCTTTCACGTATTTTTATTTTATTTTTTTTGTTAAGTTGTTTTCTAGGTTAAGTATGCTCTCATTTGTTTCTATAGTTACTTATTTGTTAATTGATTAGTCCTGCTGTTCCTTGTTTTCTCTCTCATTTTCCCTGTGTATTTATACCCCCAGTTCTGTTCAGTTCTTTGTCTGTTCTTATCTTTGGATTAATAGAGGTACTGCTAGCAACTAGACTGATACTGAACCCATTTCTTTCCATGCCTTGAACAGCCACCCATGATAGTCAAGTAGTTTAAATGTGCTTTGTAGTAAGAAACATGTATTTTAGAACTTTGCATACTAGTAAATTGTGATCTGCAGACAGTTTCTCCTTTTGCTGATTTATCTGCAGTAACAGCAGTGATGCAGAATGTGTAATTTACTCCAGCAGTCAGACCAGTGATGTGATAGGAAGTGTTAGTAGTTTCTGTTGAATTTCCACTTGTTTTATCATCAGCCCACTTAAGTTTAAAGAAAGATCTATTTCCTATTGGTTCTTCCCATGTCAGAAACACAGATGAGCTTGTGATGTTGTTCACTGTGAGATTCCTGATAACATCCGGATCTGTGTAGAGAGAGGATAAATCATAAATACTGGTTTGAGATGGTGTAAAACATGTAAGACTGATACAATTATTCATAAAGTGTTTGTAGCATTTGTAGGTACTTATGATGTTGCTGTACAGTTTTCTGCTTAAGGAAAGAAATTATGAGATGGTTTCGGGGCTGAAGGTTCAATAGATTCATTCAGATTAAACATCCAGAGGTCTTACTGGTATAAAGTGAAATCTGTCTGGCTCTCCCCTCGGTCACATGATCAGCTGCAACTGCAAACACTCTGAATGTGTACTGCTCTCCAGGAATCAGATCATTTATCTCGATGGAGGTGTTTTCAGTAGTCACACTGTTATTTTCATATTCTACACGGTAACGGGAGCTTTGGCCATTTGGTTTAATCCAGTTTAGTAAAACAGAGGATGTTGTAATATCAACAGCTGTGAGGTTCATTATGACGTCAGGCTCTGTGAGTAAAAATAACAGACATTTAGGGATTAAAATGTGAATCCTGAAATCTTGTGAAGGTTCAAGAGGACACTTAAAAGTAACAGGAAATGTGAAAAACATACTAGTATAATTTGAGGTAACCACTGATTCTCCTTCTGTTGATTTATCTGCCGCAACAGCTGTGATGATAAATGTGTAATTGACTCCAGCAGTCAGACCAGTGATGTTATAGGAAGTGTTAGTAGTTTCTATTGAATTTCTGGTCAAGTCCAATTTCTCATCAGTCCAATTAAGTATAAAAAAATATCTATTTCTGGCTGGTTCTTCCCATGTCAGAAACACAGATGATGTTGTGATTTCAGACAATCTGAGATTCCTGATCACATCTGGCTCTGTGTGGAGAAAATAAGGGCAAGTCAACACTGATGATGAAAGGGGAAGTATGTAAGTATGAGTGATACAATTATGAATTGATAAAACAATTGTAATAAGGCCAGAATTCAGTGAGTCTGGGATCTCAAGATGTTGCTGTATAGTTTTCTGCTAAAGGCAAGAAAATGTGAGATTATTTCAAGGCTGAAGGTTCAGCAGATTCACTCAGATTAAACATCCAATCAAAGGTACGAATTCTGAAAATTTACTGTAGTGAAAATGTAAATATATGAAAAGCATTTTATTTTCATATTCTACACGGTAACGGGAGCTTTGGCCATTTGGTTTAGTCCAGTTTAGTAAGACAGAGGATGTTGTAATATCAGCAGCTGTGAGGTTCATAATGACTTCAGGCTCTTTAGGGATTAAAATGTGAATCCTGAAAACTTACTGTAGTGAAGATTTATAAATATGAAAGGCATCAGTCAATATGAATATCCAGCTAGGGGAGTCCAGAAACATTTAAGTGGAAAACATACTTGTATATTTAGAGGTAACCACTGATTCTCCTTCTGTTGATTTATCTGCTGCAACAGCTGTGATGATAAATGTGTAATTGACTCCAGCAGTCAGACCAGTGATGTTATACGATAGGTTATTGGTTGTTACATGATTAGATGTTTTCTCATCAGTCCAATTAATTTTAAAGAAAGATCTATTTCCGGCTGGTTCTTCCCATGTCAGAAACACAGATGATGTTGTGATTTCGGTCACTGTGAGATTCCTGATCACATCTGGCTCTGTGTGGGTGAGAAAGTAACATGATTAGTGGTAATGAAATGAACTAAAACAGCTGTTGGAACAATGCTATTATAAATTATAATAATATTTGTTAAGCTCATTGAGTCCAGGTATGTCAATGAGATGTAATCGTACATGGTTCCACTAATACAGTAAATATCAAATGGCTTAAATGCTAAAATCTCAGATATTTGCTAATTTAAGAGGAAAACTACTGGAACATTTTACAGTATGAAAATACTTTGAAATACTGTTTCAATTAATAAATTCCAATAATATTTTAGTATATAATTTACAATAGTAATTGTTTGTGGGTCAGAAGTTAAGCACTTGGAGTAAATAAGCAAAGGACAAATGTTTTGAAAGTCTACATACTAGTCCATGCTGAGATACAGACAGATTCACTTTCTGTTGGTGTATCTGCTACAGTGGCAGTGATGCAAAATGTAAAATTGACTCCAGCAGTCAGACCAGTAATGTTTTACTTGTGTGACATCATTGATGTGTCTGTGACTGTTGCATTTCCAGATGTTTCATCAGCAGTCAATTGAACTTTAAAGGACAACGCTATTTCAAGTGGTTCATCTAGGGCTGTTCGATTCCGAAATTTTTGGAATCGAGTCCGATTCCCGGTTCTGGACTCAATGGGATTCGATTCCAAGGATCGATTCCTCACTGTTGTTTTCGATTCTTTTTTGATTCTTGTTTTTTTTTTAGATTGGAGGAACCTAATTTCGCCATGACTGCTGGAAAAAGGTCGTAGAAAGTAGCCTTCCCATAATGTCACCATCTGTGATGGCGAGGAATGATGGAGACAAGGAATAAACGAGACAGTCTTTAATTCAAGAAACACAGGGTACATCCAACACTGGGAACAGCAGGAAACACATGAACATAACAAGTAGAACCAACAGAGACAGACTGCACAGACTAGGACTTAAATACAGGGGATGATTGGGGAAACACAGGTGTAAGGGATGACTAATCAAACCAATTAACAAAACGAGGACAGAAACATGACCAAATAAGGGAACGGAAACAGGGGCAAAACATGACACAGACAGTCCATGATCCTGACACATAATATGAAGCTTTATTTGTAAAAATTACAATTAATTTCTGTAGCTCCGATTGATTTTAAATTGTAATTTTGTCTGCATTGCGCATGAAATTAGTCATAGCCCACAGCTCAGCAGTAGACATGCGTTTATTGCATGAATGGAACAAGACATGAAGTGTCTAAGTTAAACGTGCACAGTTCAGCTGAATGATGAAGTTTACTTTAACTGTATGCTTTGCACAAAATTAACAAACTGTACACCGAAACAAAATAACCAGAACATTAACAACAACACATTGATTTAAGAGCTCGTGGTTTATCTGTCAATCAGACGCGTTCTCAGCCACTGATCTGTGCTCTCTGCATTTTCTTTCAGAATTATCATTGGCTGATAGAAAGGTTAAAAAATTGCATTTTATTTAAGATGAAAATAAGAACGTCTCAGTTACGTATGTAACCCTTGTTCCCTGAAGGAGGGAACGGAGACATTACGTCAGTGACTGACAAATTGGGAGCTCGCTTGAAAGACCAATCACCTTCGAGTGTTAACAAAACAAGCCAATAAGTGTTGGCATGCGATCTTTGCGTCGCGCACCCCGCCCTGAAGCGTGGGTATATAAGGAGAGCGCGTGCAGTCGCACATTCAGTTTTTCGCTGAGGAGCCGATACTGTGTGCCTCGGCTGTACAGCGGTGGTACAGCAACTGTGGCTACGGAGCATAACGTCTCCGTCCCCTCCTTCAGGGAACGAGGGTTACATACGTAACCGAGACGTTCCCTTTCAGTCAGTCAGGTTCGACGTTACGTCAGTGACTGACAAATTGGGATTTGTATGGAAAACCCCACTATTGCTGACCCCCTCCAGTGCCCTGCGAAAGCCAGCAAGTCCCCCCACGCCAGTTGGGGCGGAAGATAGGACAGAGCGTAGGCATTGGTGTCCACCACTGCTGTTTTGTACAGTGGGATATTGGATAACACTGGGAAAGCGTACCCAAGTAGGGGAACGCTACGGAAGCCACATCCTACATAAAGGAGGTATCATGTGGAAGTTACACATATGGACTGGCCATAGCGCAGTACTACATATGGAAGTCCCTGCGGTAGACTCAGTGAATCTGGGGTCAGATCAATACACAGCACAGATGGCAGAGAAATCTCTGCTAGGGAAAGACACGGGCTTACAGTGATCACTACACACGGGCACCTAGCCCAGCACAAGGGCTGACCTTGGGCATACACACGAGTGCTGAACCTGGCGTCTGGCGCTCCGCCGAGGGTGCGGGAGGAACTCCATAAGGTTCACCAAAAGGGAAACTGAACTGAGAAGCACTTAAGCGCACATATCTGGTCCGTAGAGGGGAATGGCGCAGCAAGCGTGATCGACACCGAGTGGGTTCGGTGTTCCTGACCCTCTGAGGTAAGTACACGAGAGGACACAGGCTCTACACGGAGATGATAGAATTTCGCAAACGTGTTAGGTGTCGCCCAGCCGGCAGCTCTACAGATGTCTGCTATCGAGGCGCCCCTCGACAAGCCCAAGAAGATGCCACTCCTCTCGTAGAGTGTGCTCTCAC